TTAAATTTAATACATATGCATTACTTGTAAAAAAAATAGTAAGCATTATTTTAGAGCTAATAAAAATTTAAAAAAGGATAATTATAAATACATGTTCTAAATTTTCAGATTTAAAGTAATAAACTAATTACAATTAACAACAAAATGTGTAGTAATTTCTGTAAATGAAACAATGCTTATGCTGTAAGAGCATATGGTTTTATCCCCTTTTGTGTATTTCAGAAATAAATAAAAGTAGTATAGAAATATATCCACAGAGAAGTACGATATAATACGTAGAATTAAAATTTATATTTGTTTAATATAAGATAATATCATATATATGTATATATATATGTATATATATATATATGTATATATATATATGCTATTTTTGTAGTCTATATTTTAGAGAGTCTAATAATTTCTCATTTTAAGTGCAACTTGTTCTTACGCAACTATTCTAACGAACTTGGCCGCCTTTTTCAGAAACATTTATCCATTAATAACGATATATTATAAAAATTGTTCTTGATTTTTTTAATATCTAATATTTAATAAATGTATTTTTGTTGAACTTACACTTTGTATTTTCGCCTGTAAAAAAAAAATAATTTCGTTTATATTGTAATTAAAACATATACTCAAGATATTTCAGATTAATAATTTTAAAAAATATGAGATGAAGGGACACAGAAAATTTTCCACATTTTGCTAAATCCGAAAAACCCATTTTAACAACACTATAGTGGTTTAACTACAAAAATTGCTTATATACATTTGCGTACTCATAAATTGTATAATTTTGAAATTAAGACACATTGAATATTAATTTAATCCTTAAATAACATAATTATATTACATTAAATTAACTCGAATATTTAGTTACCTTGTATGTACAAATATTTATACTCCTCACTGTTTAAATTTAATGTTATACATATGCATTACTTGTAAAAAAAATAGTAAGTATTATTTTAGAGCTAATAAAAATTTAAAAAAGGATAATTAAAAATACATGTTCTAAGTTTTCAGATTAAAAGTAATAAAATAATTACAATTAACAACAAAACGTGTAATAATTTCTGTAAATGAAACAATGCTTATGCTGTAAGCATATTTTTTTTTATTCCCTTTGTGGATTTCAGAAATAAATAAACGTAATATAGAAATATATCGTAGAGAAGTACGATATAATACGTAGAATTAAAATTTGTATTTGTTTAATTTAAGATAATATGATATATATGTATATATATTTTTGTAGTCCATATTTTAGGGAGTCTAATAATTTCTCATTTTAAGTGCAACTTGTTTGTACGCAACTATTCTAACGAACTTGGCCGCCTTTTTCAGATACATTTATCCATTAATAACGATATGTTATAAAAATTGTTCTTGATTTTTTTAATATCTAATATTTAATAAATGTATTTTTGAGAACTTACTGTGTCCACAGGAATCTGTAAAAAAAAAAAATAATTCCATTTATATTATAAATAAAACGTATACGCAAGATATTTCCGATTAATAATTTTAAAAAATATGAGATGAAGAGACAGAGAAAATTTTCCACATTTTGCTAAATCCGAAAAACGCATTTTAATTACAACACTATAGAGGTTTAACTACAAAAATTTCTTATATACAATTGCTTACTCATAAATTGTATAATTTTGAAATTAAGACACATTGAATATTTTTTTAATCCTTAAATAACATAATTATATTACGTTAAATTAACACTCGAATATTTAGTTACCTTGTATGTGCAAATATATATACTCCTCACTTTTTAAATTTAATACATATGCATTACATGTAAAAAAAATAATAAGTTTTATTTTAGAGCTAATAAAATTTAAAAAAGTATATTTAAAAATACATGTTCTAAGTTTTCAGATTTAAAGTAATAAAATAATTACAATTAACAACAAAACGTGTAATAATTTCTGTAAATGAAACAATGTTTATGCTGTAAGCATATTTTTTTTTATTCTCTTTTGTGGATTTCAGAAATAAATAAACGTAATATAGAAATATATCGTAGAGAAGTACGATATAATACGTAGAATTAAAATTTATATTTGTTTAATTTAAGATAATATGATATATATGTATATATATTTTTGTAGTC